TTCAGAAACCCGCACATCTTATGTAGATGTGATTCATGGGGCAATTGGCCCATGGACTGGTGCGGGGATGACTACGAGGAGTAGGAGGACAGAGACGATGTAGTTGAGAAACTTCGCTGGGATTGGATTCTCTGTGCGTTTTAAAGTCTGTGAGAAGAGTTGTTGAGGGTTCCGGAAAGAGTCGAAATGAGACATCAACGGAAGTCAAGGTTGTCCGATGGAGAGGGGGCAATGTGCATTCTAGCGGAATAACGAAAGAGGAGGCCGTTCGATCAAGGAACGTCGATGCTATAGGAGTTACTGTGACACAAGGGCTGGCATTGTGAGCTTTGGGGGCGGCAGAATGGTCGGAACGACTAAAGAAGACGTCTACATGCAGGGTGCGCCGGTGTATATGCGGCTGAGAGACACTGGAACTACGGCAGCGTATGATTCAAATGGATTAGTGCATAATTCATGCGCGATTTGGCGAATCTCTGACCGCATGCAGCCTTGCATGCGAGCCACAGGTCGTAGGCTTGATCCGTTGATGCGACTGTCACGTAAAGGCCGAGTTTGTCGAGCCAAAGGGCGATGAAAGCGTGCCCAACTTGTTTCTCGATCTGGTTCTGGAAAGATTTCACTGGAAGTCGGGCCTGGGAGTAGCCGTTGGAGATGGAAAGTCTTGTTGGTCCACGAAAATGATGTATTCCACTCGACGTTACAGTTCACCGGTTATCGTAAGACAGTTTTTGCTAATTTCTCCCGACGAACCGAACGCGGCCGAAGGCTCAGGCGACGCGGAAACCACGCGGCCTGACGCAAAGGCGACGCGAGAAGAACGTAGCAAGCCTTTCTATCAAGCGCAAGATGTTGGACTTTCCCGCCAGTGGAAGCCCTTGCCGTCTGCCTGGTCCGAGCCATGTCGCACAGAGAGTACCGCCCAAAGGACCACAGACCTCTCGAAACGCGGGGCGTTTCAACGAAGTCCCGAAACGGGAACAAAGAGAAACGGAAGCTCAAGCGACGCGGAGACCACGCGGTCTGAGGCTCAGACGGCGTGGGATGGTTAACAGCCGGAGGCCCGGGAGATGCGGAGACCACGCGACCCGGGGCTACGGTGACGCTGACCGCGAAAACCACAAGTTCGGGCGACGCGGAGACCACACCGCCCGAAGTTGAGGTTGAAGAGCCGGAGGCAGCGCGAGAAAGAAGCGATGCGGGCGTAGTCGGTGCGGTGGAATGTGGAGAGCCGGTGGCCGGGGGGCGGGACCAGAGCGGTTACGGAAGGAAGCGGGGCCAGCATATTTACGTGCAACGGCAGCCCCGTGGTCTGCCCTGACGAGGGGGTCATGTGAGATATTTTTAGGGAAATATTTGCATTTTACTGTAGAGGGAGATTTTATTCTGTAGTCAGAGATTTTATTTGAATTTTAGAGAAGCGCACGCGGACGGCCCGGCGGAATCCGGGCCGGGTGCGTGGACGCTTCTGGAAGGAATTTCGTAGAAATAAAAGAGAGAGGGTGACGGGCGCTGCGGGGAAGGGGGGACGACACTCGGCCAACCCTCACGACGGAACGGCACGTTCCCCAAAACCGCCTCCCCCATTTCACCACCAACACACCCTGCACCGCAGCAGATCTCCGCATTCACTCTTCTCCTTCCGATGCACCTGATTATTTTTGAAGGTGATAATCATCACCACGACTGCACGTAAAAGAGATATAGTGTGGTGAGTGTGGACGATTTGATGTTTGGGAAAGTGTGTCGAGTGGAGAGCGGAGAGTGGAATGGACGTTTTAAAAAGGAGTGCGAAACCAATTCCTACAGTATCACGTGACAGCTGCCGTAGGCAGTCCCTCATCTCGCTCAACAGCCATTGTGGGTGGCACTTTTCATGCGTACTGTATTGTTCGGGTGTGTCCCGGGGGGCATAAATTACAGTGGAGATTCACAACGTCGCGAGCTCGCTGTGGAGCTCGCATGCTATGTTTGCTGACCTCTACATCTGAAGTTACTTTGGAAAAAAAGGTGCAGTACAGTGTAGTGGTTAGGCCGGTCGCAGGGGGCGGGGGGGGGGGGGGGGGGGGGGGGGGGGGGTAGAGGAGGAAGTAGCAAAACCTGGAGTACCCGGAATCCCAATTGTTTGCGACCCACTGTCGTTTGGTAGTTGTCTACCTATTTTGTTCGTTCTCCCCACCGCGCGTACCTATCCTCTCTTCCAACACCCCTCCCTTGCTGGTGCACCCAGATTCCCCAGACGCACGTACCCCTTTAATACACTACGCCGTCAGGCCAAGAAGCCGACCCTGGGGGAATGCGCACAGGGCGTGCAGTATTCTTTGCTGATGTTGACATCAGCAGATGCCTGTCAATAGGCCTGTCAACAGGCATGCAGTCAAAAGTATCTTACAAGCGACGCAGCGATCCCACCCATCGATTGGCACTGCCAGCAGTTTGCCGCCCTCGCCTTCGACACGCTGGTCCCAGCGCTCCCAGGAGCAAGCTCCGCCGGCACTAAACTTTATGCTTACCCTTGAAATCCTTGCCCGCAAAAAGCTCACCGCAGCCACTGCGCATGTCTGAGGTACAGAGAATAGTAATAAAACAAATGCACGACGTTTGCGTGTATCAGTCATTTCTGACACACTCCTCGAGACATGGTCCGCAAAAGAACACATCACTTTATCCCGCGTCCTCCCGGGCTGTGCAGTCGTCTGTTGACGCTTTGATGCAGTCACTGACGAGATGCAATCACAGAAAGTGTTCCATAGCGGACAGCCATGCCGGGGGGTTTTAGTTCTGAAGCTTAATTGAGACACTTGGCTAAATACAGGCCCTTTGCTGCATCCCATTTGTGGGCTACGTGTACCCAAGGGTAGTGTCTTTTGCAGTTGGCGCAATAATCCCTGGTCGTTGCATGCGGATTTTGCATGAGGGCTTCAATGAGAAAAGAAAGCTAAAACTCTGTTCCAAGTAAATTAATTACCTGTTGTGCACAAGCACTGGATGCACGCCCTCCCTTGCTCAAAGTAGCATGCAGGCATGGAGGATATGCACATATCCGAGGACGCGGACAAAGAGGCTGATAATATACGGCAGTTGGGGTATGAATCTTGTGCTTATCAACCGGGTAAAATGGAATTGATTGAAATATCTGAATCCGGGGAGCATAAATGCAACAATGTGCGATAAAATAAAGGAAGCAAGCACAAATATGAGGCACTGCAGAGCCCAGTATTATGCACTGCTCTGCCTGTACAGTATCTTGCACAAGACCGTGATAAGTGATATCGCATCCGGCACAAGACGCAGATATATGATATCGCCTGGCGCACAAGACGGTGATATACAATATCAGACTACATGAACGGCAAACAGTGTCAAAAGGAGACCTTCTTTCTTCATTCCCTACGGGGCCCGGGAAGGGGAGGACGGGGATGCTCAGGGATGCGGCGGCGGCGCGGACGGGGGCGTCGTCGCGGAGGTGGGAGTTGACGAGGACGGCGGCGACGCGGGCGTCGGAGAGGTAGAACTGGAAGTGATCGGCGGTGTAGGCGGGGTCAAGCGGGGCGGCGACGAGGTTGGCGGACGTGCAAGCGAGGAAGGAGAGGACGAAGTGGGAGGAGTTGGGGATGACGATGGCGACGACGGACTGCGGGGCCAGCCAGGCGACGAGGGTGCGCGAGAAGGTAGCGATGCGCGAGCGCAGGGTGCAGTGGGAGAGGCCTTGGGGCGTCGAGGCGCAGGGCGGCGCCAGAAAAGTTAGGAGGGCGGGCGTGGAGGTGGTGAGGGGGACGTCGCGCAGGGTTTGGGGCGCCGGGGGGGTGTAGGGGGACATGATGGGATGGAGAGGGAGGGATCGTGGAAAGGGCGGCGACGACGGAGGGGGAATGACACGTATCGATTCAATGAGTTTTGCAAATCAAAACTGTGGCCCAGGAGATGTACTTTAATTCTGGATTGCAATATGATAAGGAGATATAAGTATTAAATTCCAGGTCCGGATGATAAATGCGTTATCACCCGGCCACGTCAGGGCCTCCTTTAAGACAGCATGGACAGCCATGTTTGGATGTATATGTTTGCGATTTTCAAAATATTACATGTCCAATAATTTAATGTATTGTGTCAGCGCGCCGTGATCCGTAAATTGGCTCAAGGGGTGCATCATACCGGGCTATCGATAGGGAAGCGAACGGTCTTTCTGAGCAGTGATGCAGGGAAGTGGCTGCAAAAAAGCCGCAAATCTCATTATCTTACAGTGCCTGGTTCGATATAGTGCCGTTTTCGGCCCACTGACAGAGGGAGGCACTATATCGCGATCCCCGTGTCCTGGCATTCAGGGACGTCAATAAAATGATTAAATTGAATTTTAATGTATGCTAAATTGGATCAATATTGAATTCAATCGCACTTATGCGGTAGGTGACAGCCAATGGTGTGCTCTCGTATGGCACGTTGGTAGCGACAGATTCCATTATTTTAACTTTGTGTGCGCCATCATACTGTTAAGAAAAGTATTAAATGGACCAATCAGGTGCACGCTGACGTCCATACATGTCCAAACATGCCCGTCCATGCTGTCTTAAAGGAGGCCCTCAGTGTGATAACGCTCGAGAGCAGTTATCACACCGACTATAATATTGAGCACTCGGCTATGCCTCGTGCTCATATCATAGCTCTCGAGCAGCTGATAACTCGAGAGCAGTTATCACACCGACTATAATATTGAGCACTCGGCTATGCCTCGTGCTCATATCATAGCTCTCGAGCGTTATCACACCTCGTAGCCGGGTGATAACTCCTATGTGTGCTCTCAGTCCAACGGCTCTATCTCGGGGCATGCGATATTTTGTCATGCTACAGTACAAGTATGTAGCCGCCACGCAGCGTAAACCTTAGAAACCCTAGTCTAGCCCCTGACGTCGCACGCCATCGATGCTCAGCGACTGTGTGCAGGACGACGTGTTCGGAAGCAAGGAGGACAGACTGCCCGCGCCCTACATGGCAAGACATTCACATATGCGGTTCTTTATTTCTGAACCCAGGTTAATATATAGACCAAGGTTAATTGCTGTGATCAGGTGTAGTTTGCATTACCCTTCGATACCCTAGGGTAAAGTCTTTACGTATCGGAGGATATCGCATGAAGACTGTCATGAAAGCCATACGTGCACACGTAGCACACGCATGACAGCGCAATTAGATCATCTTTATTCACCGCCGTATCACTGATCCCTCCCATTCCCTTATAAGGTAGAGACACGATAGGCATCAGTAAACGGACGGTATCGATCTTGCACCACAAAGACATGTCATTGTGTGGAGGAGATTGGAGCGCAGCGCTAGGGTGCGACAGCGATGCTCACGCCCGACTCTCCACCTCTCCACCTCTCCACCTCTCCTCTCGTTCGAGGCATGCGCATCGCGCCGAAAGCCCCCGCGATCTTAACACCGCTGCTGTGCGTTTGTTACACGTTACACGTTCGTCCCTCTCCCATCCATTTCTACGCTACAGCCTTACTACATCTGTAGCTAACGCCCACAACCGCGTCCACCACACCATTGACATTGACGTCGTCCTCACTGTTCATGCCCCCCCCCCCCCCCCCCCCCCACTGCCGTGTCCTCAACAGGTTACTCAACCTCTGCCACCATACCATTCCAAGTGCCAGTTCAGTCCGTGAGCCGGCAAATTGCCTCAGTTGTACGTTTCTGCACCATCATCAAAGAGACGCCCACTTTTTTCCCCCTGCGAGTCAAAGAAGAGCCTTGCTTTCACGCACGAAAACCATCGCCCTTGGCGTTGGAAAATCCCCCACGCCGCAATTATACTTCTTCGGAAACTACAATTGTGCAGGGCGTGCCAACGTCTGAATTTACTGGCAAAAACTGTTATTCACCTCTTTCACGCCACCGCTCTCACTCAACAATCACATACTCCTCACTGTTGATGCGCTCGAAGTCACGTGCAAGGCTCTTCATGTCAGTATTGCTGATGACAAGCACAAGAGCAATGTCCCGCATGCTTGTAGGCGCGCTCAGGCGCTTGCCCGGTACCGCCCTCCAAGACACAGAGGATATGGTTGAATCCAACTTGGGAATTTGCATTCTTTTCACTACCCCGGCCTTGGGCGGATGTATCGAATACGCTGCGTAGCGCCTCATCTCGGTGCTCTTGAATTTGTGCAGTGGAGTCTTATGTCCCATTTGCATGAGTAGACTGGTCTCCTCGAGTGCAACGCCGGAACACTCCTCGATAACCTTACCCACAGCGCCTCCTGCAGCACGAGCAGCGACTTCCATGAGCACCGGCTGCGCGGTGCCACTCTCCAAAAAGAAATCAATGTTGAAAACGCCATAGTCCTCGCAGTAGTCCCGCAGCTGATACAGCACGGCTTCCGAAAATTCCTCAAGCTTGGCGTACAGGGCGTCCGTCGGGGGCACGATAATGTTTCCAAGCTGGTGGCCTTGTAGGTATTCGTCGTTGGGGCGGTTGTGACGCATGGCGAAGAAAAGGCTGCTTCGTCCATCCACACGGACAACGCTTGTGTTGAACAGCTCTCCCGCAATGCGCTCGTCAATCTCAAAAATCGAGTCCGAGCATGCGTTTGCCTCGCACCACTGCAAAAGTTGGACGCTCCCATCCAGGCGCCAGGTTTTCTCGCTGCCCGCACCGACCACGGGCTTGATGAAGAGCTTGTGTCCTACAGTATCCATTACTTCTCGGACATATCCGTCCGGGTCAGAGCGAAATTTCTCAGGACTGAATACCACGTAGTTGGGGATGCGCACGGGTCCATTCTGTCCAATGGCCTTCTTGGTGGCATTCTTATCGAAGAAGGGCAGCATACAATGAGAACCAGCCCCAGGGATTCCCAAGGCATCGCGGACTTGTCCAGACAACAGGATTGAGTACTCATCGTTGGTTGCAATTCGGCATTTGTCCGGACGAAGTGCGCATGAGGAAAGGATTTCACTGACTGTTGCGACAAGAGGTTTCAGCGCGTACGAGTCGACGACACGGATCAAATCAAAATGGATAAACTCATGGGCAGGGACCTTTGCCACCCCACGCCGACTAGAAATCAAGACTAAGTTATGCTTCATGAATCGAATCTTTTCAATTTGCGCCCTGAAAGGCAGCATGTCGTGCAGTAGAAACGTAGTTGGACGGCTGGCGTCCAGCTTTTGTGAGATATTGTCAACATGGGGCGTATCATGAAACATTTCTTGCACAAGACTGACGACCTTTTCAGCACAACCCCAAGACAGGGTGACGCCAGCACCACCATGGCCGTAGTTGAGTACAACGTTGGTGCTGGGGATGCGTTCGAGAAGAACGTTCGTGCTTGTAAACGGATAAAGGCCAGTGCGAACATTTTCCTTGGGATCAAGCTCAAGGGGCCTGAGAGCTGGAAGAAGATCAAGACAACCCTTGTACATCTGATCTACGATTGGGTCATCGAGGGAGAGATCACGGTCCCACTGATTCGGCTGAGCCAGTCCTCCGAGAACGACGTGGTCCTTTCCTCGCGGAACAATGAACACGATGTCTTGTTCTGAACTGGAGCCCTCCTCGTGGCTGATGCAGTGAGCCGCCCTAGCAGCTCCGTTAGGTTGTTTAACCCAAACAAGGGCTCCCCGCAGAGGATACATGTGAGTGTCACCAACGATGTCGATGGCCCCAAGACCAGGAGATACGACGATAGCGTCGGCCTTGTAGCGCTTGCGGAGTGTGTCCTCCTCTAGAAGCACATGACTGTCGATGCGCTCTTGCAACAATATGCAGCCCTTATCCCTAGCCTGCTGCTGTAACCACGGCATGTATTTGTCCGTGTCAACCATGGGCGCCATGTGTTTGTAGCAGTCCTTGATGTTGTTTTCCACGAATTGTGGATCAACGCCCTCTGGGACGATGTGCATACCTCTTGCAAAGCCATCAACCTTGTCCTTGAGCTCGTTCATCTTCTCGAGATTGAAGCAACACTTGTCCACAGAAAAACGAAAGTAGAAGAAGACATCTTGCAGGTAGACACCGCATTCACCCTCTCCATAAGTTGAATGCAACTCTTTGAACTTGTCGTAGCTGACCATACACCAGTGCTTGGAGGATGATAGCGAGCGAGGGTCTCCATGCTGACCGCAAACAGCTGGGGGCCATTCCCAGAGAGCGCCCGCTACGTTCGATGTGATGTTTTCGTAGTGCTCAGCAACTACGGTTACGTCAAAACCTGCTTCACGCAGACCGATGGCGGAGGTGATCCCGACGACTCCGCCGCCAATCACCAACACGCGATGGGGCCTTTCGTTGCGGGATTGATGCGTTGTATTCGGGTGGGTCAACGTCATCCTGTGGGTCCGTTTTGGGTATGGATGCCTGCAGCGCAAGAGGCAGGGACATTTCCCTGGCTCTCTACAGTATTGGGCGACTCCGAAAAACATAAAAACACATTTTGTGTATGCGCAAATCCGCCGATTTTGATTGAGTCGGAGGTGTTTGTGCATACACAAACCGCCGATTTGCTCTTCGTTCCCCTCCCGATGTAATTGTTTGTGCACAGACACAAACGCACATCCGCACCCACCTATACCACCCTATATCATACCATGTGCTCAAATATTTCTCTGCGATCTGTCCGATCAACCCATCCCACCCCTCGGCAACCTCATTCCTATTTCGATCTGGCCTCCCTCCACACTTTCCCTCCGTCGTATCAGCCGCTGTCCAACCCCGCAGCCCAACGTCTACATGGCTCATGTTGCCGACTCCGACGAGGAGCCAGCACCCGATATTTGTCCCCAAGCCGGCGGCTCCTTCGTCCCAGCAACAACCCCTCCTACCACTAGCAAATGGAGATGTAGAGGGGTGTTACAATGCACTCCTTGTTATCCGCCTGTCTCGTCGTCTTCGCCCTTCCGTGTTGAGGCGGTGACGAAAAGTGATGGTGCGTTGCCTTTTTGCGCGTTGCAACAGCAAAACAAGGAGGAGATTTCTCATTTGGGTATCATAGGATAGGGCGTGAAGGGGGTACCGCAATCCGTCCGCCGACGTGCTGACACCTCACTGAGGGTGAATTGGCATTAAATGTGTCTTACACAAATTTTTGTTCACATGCATTTCCGTGCCAAGGCACAAAATACGACACACATACACAAGGAAATTTGTGTGTACACAATTTATGTTTTTCGGAGTCGCCCATTTGTGTGCATCAGTACCAGATGCTGTACCCTTCCCCGAGGGGGCAATTTGGTAATTATTTTGACGGAGCCTAACCCTGTGCTCCTTTTTTGTGACGGCTATTTTTTGCCCCAGTCGGGTTATTTTCTTCCTGCTTCGGTCTTGTTGAGCGCTACGTCCCGAGAGTAGGTTCGTTGAACGCAGAATTGTGTTGTCGTTAAGAAGATATACGTTTTGTCTCCAGGAGACCCGTACTTTTCGAGTAGTGTCCTCCCGAAAAGTGTGGGGTGGTCCTATTTTGTGATCGGGGCATAAACTTCACAAAATTCACACAAACGTCTCAAAGTTCTCACAAGTTTTGTGAATCTCGCTTTGTTTTTGTGAATCTCACTTTATTTTTGTGACGTCAACATCTCGAAGTGCTCTTTGTTGACTGTTTTGTGATTCACACACAAATTGTTTTATGACTCTCACACCATTGTCTCACAATCATCTCCAACATCAACAAACCATCACAAACCCATCTAAAAACCATAGCTGATAGCCTTGTTCTTCAGACATTTTACGGCCTTCACTCTCGGGCTTGTAACGCCTGCCTGTAGCCGGCGGTGCCCGACTGCGCAACTACTATATTGGTTTTACATTGCTGGATAGACGCAATCGTAGGACATTGCTGGATAGACGCAATCGTAGGACATTGATGGATAGACGCAATCGTAGGACATTGCTAAATTGAGCGCCTCTTACCTTGTAGGTATTACAGTCCGTACTCTTACATTCTCGCGAGCTCGTGGGGTTTGGATAAGCCCGTGACAGTGAACCCCTCTGTCTCGCGGACTCGTGGAGTGTAGACAGGTCTGCGACAGTGAACCTCCCTCTGTCTCACGAACCCTTGGAGTTTAGATAAACCCGCGACATGGAACCTCTCTTTCAAAAAAAGGACATCGAACAGGAACAGAAAAAGGAAAACAATAGAAACATCGAGTGACAAAGTAACGCATAGGCTAGAGGCCAGTCTTAGCCCGCGTAGTCGCAACGACGGAGAAAAGGAGAAGCAAATAGTA